GAATTGTTTTTTTTTTTTTTTTTTTTTTTTTTTTTTTTTTTTTTTTTTTTTTTGTTGTTGTTGTTGTTGTTGTTGTTGTTGTTGAAGAAAAGGAGTCAGCTATGATATCATTTTTTTTTTTGCTTGTGCTGTGCCTTTCATGGCCTTGTGCATTCGAGTGCTTTTCCATCCGTCTGTTATTTATGATGGCTTCTCGTGGTCTTAATGGCTTTTTTGTGCTGGCCCCTAACCATGGAGAGAAGGGTGCTGCTTGTTTTCCACCTGCATAGCTTTCTTACAAGCTGGAACCCCGTGCTGATTTTTTTTATTTTATTTTTTTACTTTTTTTGTAGCAAAAAATTGGAACATTAAAAATTCAAAATTGGTCTGGTCTATTTTGCAAAGATGCTTTTGAATCTTTCGGTACGTACAAGTTTTCCAAATTCCTGTTTTTTTTTTTTTTGAAGTCCACGATGTTGTTAAGGCCAGTTACTCGTCTCACATTGGTGGAGTTGTAATTTCTAACTTTACACAGTTTTTTAAACTTTTTTTAACTTTTTTACCTCCAAAAAAATGTGCAGTGGAGACAGCGGCGGAAGTGACGACACTAGTGATAGCGAGGACGAACTTGGACCGCATGTATGTATCTGTGTTCTTCACCCCTTTTTTGAAGTTTTTTCTGACCTTTTTTTTTCGTGTTGCATTTTTTTTTTAATAGCAAACCAGACGCCCTTGTGTGGTAATAATAATTATTAATCCCTATCTTTCTAAAGTTTGTATCATAATCATTAATCATCTTGCAGGGGGGTTGTTGACAAGTGCAAGGAACATGAGTATGGATGAAGCACAGAAATCCAGAATGCAATATCACACTGAAGTCCAAGTATTCAAAGCCAAAGCGGATAGTAGAATGGAACCGAGTAACCATCTAATTGAGAATGATACAGAAGAATCGTGAGTCAATGTCCATGCCCAACAGGGCAACACCAACAGCATAACCCAACGTAGCTCTCTCTCATGAATGGCGCCAGGCGCCCTATCTACTCTACAGATTAAGGCTACAACTACAGCAATGAAAGCAACCAGACAACTTGACTACCAGCGAGTGATG